CCAATGGTAGCTTTCCGCTAACCAGTACCACTGTACTTGCATGGTGCTTTCTGCAAACACTCCCGCAGTCGCAGCTCCTGGCTCGGCATCATGATGGCAAATGATTTCAGGGTTAGTGTATGAACTTGTCACTTGCGGGTAGCGGACCACCCGGCAACGGCTAATGGGTGAGGCATATAAGGATACCGGCCAATCAAGTAGTCGCGAAATCTGGGGATAACGTCAACGTTCTTCTTTCAAGAGACTCGATTCGAGAGCGAGAGAGATAGAGGCAAGAACCCTAGCGAGACAGCATGTTTAAATATAGACATGATGCCAGTTGCTTTCTGTGCCGGACGATGTAAAGCAAATTATGAAAGATGAGGAAAATCGGAACAGTGAGTGAGAAAGAACAGCCACAGCCAGTGAAGTTCGCAAAAATGGAAGCCAGCCTGGGCCTGAAAAGTTTTGATAAACACGAAGGAAGCGGAGACCGAATAAGCGGACTGGAAGGTTATGTTCCAAAAAGAAAAGAAAAGAAAAGAAAAGAAAACCAGATTTCCAGCTCAAAGAGTGTAGCTAAATATATCAGCTATATAGCGAACATACATAACAGCGAATTACTTGAATGGGCCCGAAATAGGCATAATTCAGACGTCTGACTTATAGCTTAAAAACAGCCAAATAAACGACACCTGCAAACGGCTATAGCCAGGCCCTCCATTCCATTGGTACCTTGGGAATTGTCAATAGCAGCACGGATTAGACCTTCGTAGCTTGGGCTGCAAATCCCTGGGATATAGATGCTGTGCCCTGATGCCCGTGCATATCCTAAGTAGCTATCGCCATCAGCCATATGATATAGTTGAAATATCGCATGTCACATCTCATCAATTAAAGGACGACATTCTCGCATCGATTATTCTGGTCCACGGTAAAAGGATGGCATGAAACACGGATTTCTAGCGCGACACATCCGCATAAATGAAGAAACAGGATCCATGATTTGAGAATATATCCGCTCTAAAGATGGAAGAAAACATGGGGGCTTCGCTGTTTAAAGCCAGGGTGTCAACGACTCGCCCAAAGGGAAGGACAAGAGGTATAATTTGCGAAAGGAGGAATAATTAGTCGTTCCAACTGCCGCTGACAGGCGTCCCGAAGGAATAGACAGCAAGTCATACCTTATCCTGGAGTTCTAGTTGGATCTGTAGACGGCAGATACGATTCAGTCCTGCAGAGGTTGATCAGAGAGGATGTCGCTCCGTACCTAGGTAACTTAGTAGCAAGGAGGCTCATTGTGGCTCGGCCCGACCAATGATCCTGGTTATCTCTTGATGCAAATGCCATCAAATCGTTGAGCTGCTTTTCTCCTCAATCCAGATAGCTTCAGCCATTGAGCTGGTTCCATCGACGCGGAGTGTCTTTTCTCCAAAAGCAGTTGCGGAGTCGTTTCCGGATCTGCCTTGTTGGGCATCTCAGGCGTATAGTTGAGCCATTTCAACTGTGTTGCCCAATGC